AGTGAAAAGACAAGTCACAGAAAAAAAGAACATATTTGCAAATTTTATTTCAATTAGTGGTCTAGTCTCAGACTATAAAAAAGAATTTTTACAACTCAACAATAGCAAACCACCTAATTTAAAAATGGGCAAAGTATTTCTATCTCTCTATCTTTCTCTTTCTCTCCCTCCTGCTTTCGGTACATCTTAACATCTGCTATGTCCCTGGCTCTTTGTTTCTCCCTTCCTTCCTCCTTCTGTCTCTATCTGTCTCTATCTCTGTCTCTGTCCCTCTCTTTGTTTATCTCTTCCTTCCACCCCTCCTACCCCATTTCCCTGCTGTGTATCTGGCCAGAATCAGCCGGGCAGCCATAAATGGCAAAGTGCTCTCACTGGTCCCTAGAAACCTCCCTTGGAGTCCCTCTGCGCCCTGTAGCCACCTGCACATCCCCTTGGCCCTCTCTCCCTTCTTGGCCTCTAGGGCACCCAGGTTATGGGTTCCTGGCATTGGCAAGGTGTCAGGAGGCACTTCCCCTGCTTCACCTCCCCCCACCCCCTCCACTGGAGGAAAAAGCTCAATTAGAAAAGTATCCCAGAACATGTTAAAAAAAAGGGAGGGGGGGCGGGGAATGGGCAAAGGATTTGAATAGACATTTCTTCAAAGAAGATATACCAAATGGTCAATAAGTACATGAAAAGATGCTCAACATCTTAGTCACCAGGAAAATGCAAAAACAAATTGAAACCACAATGAGATACCACTTCACTATTATAATGGCTATAATTTAAAAAAATAGTGTTGGTGAGGTTATGGAAAACTGAGAACCCTCATCCACTGCTGGTAGGAATGCAAAATGGTGCAGTCACTTTGGCAATACCTCCCAATGTTAAACATAGAGCCATCACATGACCCAGCAGTTTCACTCTTAGGTATGATATATGCAAGAGAACTGGAAATATTCACACAAAAACTCATACATGAATATTCATAGCATTATTCATAATTAAAATGTGGACACACCCAAATGTCCAGTGACTGATGAATGGATACACCAAATGTGGTATAATAGTACAGTGGAATATTATTCAGCCATTAAAAGGTACAAAATACTGATACATGTTATTCCATGAATGAACACTGAAAACATTAGACTAATCGAAGGAAGCCAGTCACAAAAGCCACATATTGTATGACTCCATTTATGTGAAATGTCCAGAATAGGCAAATCCATAGAGACAGAAAGTAGATTAGTGGTTGTCAGGGTAACCGGGAGTGACTGCTAATAGAATTGGGTTTCCTTTTGGTGTAGTAGACATTCTGGAATTAGACAGTGGTGGTGGATGGATGGCCCTGTGAACAAGGAATTATACCCTTTCAAAGGATGGATTCTACCTCAATTGTTAAAGAGGGGGCAGACATTTCTTAAAGGGTTTGCTCACTAGGCAGACAATAATGGAAAGAGAATTCTAGAAAGAATAGAATGAGAAAAGGCATGGAAACCACAAAAGAGGAATGCATTCAGGGAAGCGAAAGAGGCCTGAGACTGTATTTAGGCACATACACAGGCGCTGCCGAACGAACCAAGTAGTGCAGGGACAAATGATGAGCCACTTCCTTTCAAAGGCTCTTCTCCTCTCCCCATCGGCATAGAAACTCTCCCCTCTTTGAAAGAGGGACTATTTTGTACTTTCTTTCGGTACTGATTTTTTATGGTCCTATACTGCAGTTATTCGGGCATCTCTCTCATCTCACACACCTCTTGCCCCACACCTTCTGGAATCTAAGAACCTGGCCTTGCAACTCCCAGCACCGTGCTGGGTAGAGTCTGATGTGAACCCTTCAATTAGCAGCAAAAATGATGGAATCACAGACAGTAATAAGCATGATTACAAAAGTTTTTTAAAATCCTAGAAGAAACTACACAAAACAGGATGCAGGCACCAATAACAGACAGTGTATGTTGAATCACCCTGTGACCACTTGGCTTGTTTATATCTAGTCATTTTCATCACATGGATTTCATTTTGCAGGAACTCCAGAAGACTCAGACAAAGAGCCACAGCCTCCCAGCCGCTGCGTTCCCAAGCCTGTGGTTTTCCTCTGATATAAACAAAAGATTCCGGAGGTATGGTCTCTGCTAGTATTTGCTGGTGTGGGTCTGGGGGAGAAATGAGCGGCAGGGCTAAGGACTAGGGGCTGGAGGGAAACCCACCTAGTGAACTGACAGTTCATATAAGCAACACCTGGAGTGTTAAATCCCCTCCAACTGTTGTTTTACTAGAAGAAAAAAACCCTCCTCTTCTTTGGAAAATGTAAAAATTCTTTCACCAGCTGCATTCCGATCTACAGTGTGTGGCAGTTCAGGAGAGATGGCAGCTGGAAAGGATCATGCTCGGGATACAGTGAGTGTTCACCAGCAGCCAGGGATGAAGCCACAAAATGGATCTTCCGAGCCACGTTCCTTTAAGAAAATGGGTGAGCCTCGACCTGCCTGCTCAGAGTTTTCTGCTTGTGAACACTGAGAATACTGGAAATGCACATCACCAGGATTGGCGACAGAATCCACCTTTTGACTAGAAAAGCTGTGACATCAGTTTTTCAGGACTCCCCACTTAGTTTCATAAAACCCCGAAGCCCAAGCTTCGGGTTTAATCCTATTTTTGTTAAATATTTACAATCTACTACAAACCCAAATTCAGACCAAATGTCAGCTAACAAAACCTCACGACACAGCCATTCCTCCTGACGAGAGGAGGGAGGACTAGCATCTACTGGCACCGGGTCAGTCACTCTCTTTGTGCTCCATCCTCAACTCCGGAAGCAGATGCCTGACTTCACATACAGAGAAGGTAACTTGGGCCCCGAGAGGTTAAGTCATTTACTCAACACCCGCTGAGGAAAAATGAGGGGAGTTAGGTCTGTCTGACTCCAAAGCCAGTGTTCTTTCCACTGTGCTGGGTCTGCTACTGCCCAGTATACCCCAGAGAAGTTCTTTCTCCAGAATTTGTAAGAATGCTATAAGAGTCTAAGACTAAAATAGGCATTGGCAAACTTTTTCTGCAAGGGGCCAGATTGTAAATATTTTAGGCTTTGCGAGCCATATGGTCTCAGTTGCAATTACTTAATTCTGCCCCTGTAGCCAAAAAGCAGCCCCAGACAATATACAGGGTGGGGCAAAAGTAGGTTTGCAGTTGTGAGTATGTGAAACACAGAGTTTATGCTTCTCCCTTTGACCCTTTCTAGCCCACCCTCACCCCGCACCCAGGCCTTGGGTCATACATATATGCATTCAAGTTCTTTGGCTGATCTCTTCTGACCCACCCTCAGACTTTATTCTTATATTCTTACTTATTAATTACTGTATATTTTCCCATACAAACAACTGTAAACCTAATTTTGGCCCACCCTGTATAGATAGATGAGTATGGCTATGTTCCAATAAAACTTTATGTATGCCTTTATTTAAAACTTTATTTGCACCTTTCGGCTCTCTGAGCAGCACCATGGCAATCAACAAGAACAAGTGACTTACAAAAGGTGGCAAAAAGGGAGCCAAGAAGAAAGTGGTTAATCTATTTTCTTTTTCTGTTAATCCTCACCCGAGGGTATTTTCCCACTGAGTTTTAGAGAGAGTGAATGGAAGGGGAGAGAGAGAAAAACATCGATGTGAGAGAGACACATCGACTGGTTGCCCCCCGCACATGCCCCAACCAGGGCTGGGGATCTAGCCTGCAATTGATGTACATGCCCCTGACCAGAGTCAAACCCGGGACCCTTCAATCTGCAGGCTCATGCTCTATCCACTGAGCCAAACTGGCTAGGGAGATCGATCCATTTTCTAAGAAAGATTGGTATGATGAGAAAGCACCAGCTATGTTCGGTAATAAGAAATATTGGAAAAATACTCATCATCATGAGAACTCAAGAAACAAAATTCTAGCTAATGGTCTCAAGGGTTGTGTTTTTGAAGTGAGCCTATTTGATATGCAAAAGTATGCAGTTCCATTTAGGAAAATCAATATAAGGTTGCTCAGGACAAAAATCTGCCTAATTTTCTTGGCATGATCTTACCAGGGACACAAAATGTGTGCTCCATGTCAAAAAACGGCAGTGGGCCTTATTTGACCCACAGGCTGCAGTTTGCTGACCCCAATTCTGGAAGGTTCTACAGTGGATAGCTTCATGTTGTTTGGCTTATAAATCAATAAAGAATTGCCTGTTCCAACTCAATTAATCAATTGTTCTATATGGTCCATGCACTAAGGAATTTACATTCCTTTAGGAAGAAAAGACACACATACATAAAATACATGTGGTATAAGGCAGCATGTGGTCGGGTACAAGGAGGGCTGAGAGCTAACTGACAGGCTGCAAGATAATAGAACACTGGGGCCCACAACCTGATCAAACAATCCTGCGTGGGCACCAGAGCTCAGAAAGAATTAGAAAATCCTCTCAGTGAGCAACAAAGAAGATGAGACAAAAGTTTCTAACAAAAGCACCTATTGTGGTGAGACCACTTAAGTTTTCTTCAGCACGTATCAGACACTAACCAAAGTTAACATCTTTAGACTTACCAAACCCATCTGCTCCATGTTTTGAACAAGAGATGGGCCCTAGCTGGTTTGGCTCAGTGGATAGAGCACTGGCCTGCAGGCTGAAGGGTCCCGGGTTTGATTCCCGCCAAGGACACATGTCCAGGTTGCAGGCTCAATCCTCAGTAGGGGGTGTGCAGGAGGTAGCCCATCAATGATTCTCTCTCATCATTGAAGTTCCTCTCTCTCTCCTTCTCCCTTCCTCTCTGAAATCAATAAAAATATGTATTTTTTAAAGAGGACAAGAGATGGACCGAAGGTACAACATAAACTGAGTGCTTTGGGAAACTCCTCAAGCTCCCCCATTCTCCTGACTGACACTCTGAGCACCGAAGAGCCTGAAGACGCTCGGGCAGGAGCTGACAGGAACTACCTGGGGTCACCTTCGGATGGGTCGTCTGGAAGAACACTCCCCAAACCCTTACCTTGCTCATGGCAGTCAGGGCCGGGTCACAGGCGGCATCCAGGTCCTGAACCAACAACTGGATGCTGTTCGAGATGACACTGCAAGTCAAACAAGTTCGCAGGTCAGAACTTTCCCCAAAAGGACTTTCAAATGGCGCAGCCCTTCCAAATGTTTTAGGCACCGTGTAAAACAGACTCATCATTTCATCAGAACTCAGTGCACGTGAGTTTCAATTCAAAAGGGAGTGAGTGACAACGAGGAACACTGGGCTTTTTCTTCATCCTTGCTGCCTGTCCTGGTCTTATTTAGGACTGTCCTCCCCGAGGATACAAAATTCTTCCTATTCGCCGCACCTGGACTCTCTCTTCACTTCTACCTCCCAAAGTACAAAGGAGAGGAAACGACTTAAGAAAACTTTAATTTTTCCTCAAAAAGTGGTGATGAGAAAGCTCAGCCTATCCCAATCTCATGTAATGACCATATCAAAAATACTGCTAAGAAACGCCAGGGAAAGAACCACTTCAACAAGGCTTTTCAGTTTGAACTTCTTAGACAGATACACCCCCCCGCCCCATCCACACACACACACACATACACACACGCACACAGCTAAAATCTGGCTGCTTACAATGTATACCAGATATTTCCAATCAGTGTGCTACAGCACACTGGTGTGCTACAAGGATTTTTAAAACATATAATACCTATTTAGCCAGGGGTACAGACCTCTTTCCCCTTAGATTGACAAATAAATAAAATGGGCACCGGTTTGGCTCAGTGGTAGAGCGGTCTGCGGACTGAAAGGTCCTGGGTTCGATTCCGGTTAAGGGCATGTACCTTGGTTGTGGGCACATCCCCGATAGGGGGTGTGCAAGAGGCAGCTGGTCGATGATTCTCTCTCATCGATGTTTCTAACTCTCTATCCCTCTCTCTTCCTCTCTGTGAAAAATCAATAAAATATATTAAAAAAAAAAAAAAGAATTCCTAAAAAAAAAAAAAAAAATGACAATTCCAACACAGTAAACTTTTGGTGTAAATGAATCAAATTATATCTACTTTTTTGTCAGATCAGCAAAATATATATATATATATATATATATATATATATATACACACACACACACACACACACACACACATATATAAAATATTGTTTGGTGTGCTGCAAAAATTTAGTAATTAATTTATGTGTACCAGGGGATAAAAGGTTGAAAATCACTGTTTTATATTCTATTAAAAATTATTTTGTTTAATCCTCACCCAAGGATATTTTCCTTTGTTTTTTTTTTTTTAGAGTGGAAAGGAGGGGGAGAGACAGAAAAAGAGAAACATCCATGTGAGAGACAAATTGATTAGTTGCCTCTCGCAGGCATCCTACCAGGGCCAAAGATGGAACCTGCAACCGAGATAGCTGCCCTTTATCAGAATAGAACCTGGGACCCTTCAGTCCACATGCAGGCTGACGCTCTCCCGAGGCAAACCGGCTGGGGCGCTGCTTTATATCCTACAGCACTGCAGTGGGGCTGGCCTCCGTGGACTTAGGACGCAGATAGGAGGCCCTGGACCTGACCTTTCTTCAGGGATGCCCAGGGGGGCTTTCTTCTTTTTGTTATTCGATTAGTGAGACAATAAAAACCTGGAAGCTACAAATGATTCTATCTGAGGAGACAGAAAGGGACACAGCTGCACCAGCTTCTAATGGTTCTTGGTGGCTGGTGGAGAACATCCTGATCCAGAAGGCCCTGGAAACCTCTGAGGTTCTGTAGTGACCTAAAGCCTGAGACATGCTGCTTGGTACAGGGCAGGCCGTGAGCACGTGTGTGCGAGGTACATACGTGCTGAATGTGTCCATTTCTCCAGTCAGATTGATTCGTTCTGTCAGACTTACATCAACCTTTTCTTTGAGTTTTTCTTCCAGCTATTAGAAGAAAGAGAAAAACATGCTTAATGATTATCCAAATAAGAACCATAATAAGAATACTTAACATGGACTGAGTCTGAAGATGCAAGCATAATTCCAGGCGCTTTTCATGTCTTGACTCATTGTATTCTCACAACCCCATGAGGAAGATTCTATTACTATCCCCATCTTACAGAAGAGGGAATGGAGGAGTGACCTACCCAAGACAGTAAGTGGTGGGACCAGGAAATAAACCTCCTCTGGAACCTGTGCCTGTAAGCATTGGGTTGTAATTGTTTCTTATAACACTGACAATTTATGTCACTGATTTTTTAAAATCCTCATGTGAAGATATGTTTTTATTGATTTTAGAGAGAAAGGTTGCGGGGGGGGGGGGGGGGGGGGGGGGGGAAGAGACAGACAGAGAGAGATTGGTTGCCTCTTAGATGCTGGATGCTCCCCAACTGGGGATTGAACCTGCAACCCAGGCATGTGCCCTGACGGAATCAAACCCATGACCTTTCGGTGCATGGGACAGGACTCCAACCAACTGAGCCATACTGGCCAGAGCCATTTCACTAGCTTAAAAAAAAGACCCTGATTTTTAGGATACTCACTACTCATCCACTGCAGGCTCACTCGCCAACACTGGAAACCTCTGGTGGTGGGTGGCAACAAAATCATTATTACAGTCTTCACTGAGTGCCCTACACACCTCCCACTGAGTTAAGGTGTTGGGGAAACTGAGGCAAAGCAAAGAAGCAGAGTCTCTGTTTTCAGCAGTCTACAGCCTAGGAGAAAAACCCTGGCCTTGAAGAAAAATATAACTGGCCAGTAATTGTAAATATCTCCAACCATCCCAGAAACTGATTCACCTAGCACTCTCAGACCTATTTATTTCACAAACTGAGAACAACGAATGTTTTGCCTTAAATTTAAAAAATGCTCTTAGGGGTGCATGAATTAGTATAATCTTTTTTGGAAAACAATTTATTTAAAAAGTAAAAAATTAAATATACACACCCTTTAAGTCAGCAATTTCAGATCTAAAAAAATACTTTAATGAAATAAAGAGGACAATGTACAAAGATATGCAAGTATTCTTTGCAGCATTCATTAACTCAACCAATATTTACTGAAAGCTCATTTTGTACCAGGCTCTGTAAACGAGTAATGGAGTTATTAAATGAACAAAACAATAGAATTCCGTTCTCCAAAGCTCACATTCTAACACTGTTATTGAAAAACTGGAAACAATCTACAGGTATATGTACAAGGGACTGATAAAACAAATTATGGTGCAGGCTTACAATGCTTAAACTCTTCAGCAGCCTCTGCCTACCACACTGAAATGAATCCGAATTTCTAACCTTCATTTGGGTCCTGTCTCTCCTTCCACATCCAGCTTTCCCCCTGGCTGGCTTGGCTTCAGTTACATTGACCAGTTAAAGTTTTGGGAATACCAAAGTCTATTCCCCCTCAGGGCCTTCCAACTTACTCCTTCCTCTGCAACACTCTCTAGCACCTCCACCCCACCCCACCCAGCCCAAGCTTCTCACTTGGCAGTCTCCTTCCCAACCATAAGGTCTCTGCTTCAATGTCACTCCTCAGAGAGGCCCTTCTCTCTCTCTTTAAAAAAAAAAAATAAATAAATATTTTTAGAGGAAGAGGAGGGGAGAGGAAAAGAGAAACATCGAAAGGAGAGTGAATCAGCTGCCTCCTGCACACCCCCTGCTGGGCATTGAGCCTGCAACCTGGGCACATGCTCTGACTGGGAATCTAAGCAGCAGCCTTTTGGTGCACAGGACGATGCCAGCCAACTGCCCCGGGCAGGCCCTTCTCTCCACTCTACGTCTGTAGGCAGCTCCCTCACTAGCACTGCCACACCTGCTTCCTCCTTAGCACTTACCACAAAACTGAAGTTACATATCTATTACTGGGGTCTTCCATCAGTTCTAAGTTCCATGACAGAAAGAAACTTGGCTACTTTGTTCACCACTGTGAATTAACATCAATTACAACACCTGCTTCATAGAGATCTATTGAATGAATGAATGAATGAATGAATGAAATACCCCTGCAAATATTAAGTGTACAAGTGTAACAATTAATGGACGAATACTGAGACATTATTGGCTTTTGTTGTTGTTAATCCTCACTGGAGGATAACTTTCCATTGGATTTTTTTTTTTTTTTGAGAGAGAGAGTGGAAGGGAGGAGAAGAGACAGAGAATCATTGATGTGAGAGAGAGACATCAATTGGTTGCCGCCCAAAAGCACCCTGATCAGGGCTGGGGATCAAGCTTGTAACCAAGATACGTATGTGCCTTTGACCAGAACCGAACCTGGGACCCTTCAGTCCGCGGACCGATGCTCTATCCACTGAGTCAAACCAGCTAGGGTATGGAATTGTTTTTAAAATTTAATTGCTCGAATTCTTTTTAAAAAATATGTCCTTTTAATTGATTTCAGAGAAAGGGAGAGTGAGAGAGGGATAAAAACATCAATAATAAGAGAGAATGACTGATTGCTGCCTCCTGCACGCCCTCTAGTGGAGATCAAGCCCTCAACCCGGGCATGTACCCTGACTGGGAATATAAACAACTACAACCTCCTGGTTCAGAGTTGGATGCTCAACCACTGAACTACACTGGCTGGGTTAGGTGCATGATGTTTGCCTGTTTCACTGAGTAACACTGAGGGTCAATGCCGAAACCCATTATTCCATTAGGAAGTCCCAATGATGATGCTTTAGCCCGGCCGGTGAGTGTTGTTCACGAACCAGGAGGTCACAGTTTGATTCCCAGTCAGGGCACATGCCTGGGTTTTGGGCTAGATCCCCAGTGGGGATTGTGCAGGAGGCAGCAGATCCATGTTTCTCTCATCAATGTTTCTTATTATGTTTTTTTCTTTAAAAAAATATATATTTTTAGCCGAAACTGGTTTGGCTCAGTGGATAGAGCGTTGGCCTACGGACTGAGGGGTCCCAGGTTCAATTCCGGTCAAGGGCATGTACCTCTGTTGTGGGCACATCCCCAGTAGGGAGTGTGCAGGAGGCAACTGATCGATGTTTCTCTCTCATTGATGTTTCTAACTTTCTATCCCTCTCCCTTCCTCTCTGTAAAAAAATCAATAAAAAAAAAATATATTTTTTAAAATTAAAAAAAGGAAAAAAAAATATTTTTTAAACACCCCCCAAATTGCTAATATGATTATTTGAGGGTGATGGGATTAAGGGTCATTATTTTTATAGCTTGTTTTTGTACCACAGTTATTTTACTTTTAAAATACCATTGTTTATCTCTGTGTATTCTTTCTAATTCTGCACATATTTGCTGTTTCCATCCACTGTGGCTCGGGTTCTCACTGATGTTCCCCTGTCCCATCTCTGAGCAGCAGGACTATTGTTTCTTCCTCTAAGAACTCTGGGACCCCTTCCTTGAAGGTCCTCACAGATACTGGGAGTGTTCTTGGGGTTAAGTGTGTGAGAATAAACCAGTCATCTTTCCCGCCAAAGAACAGTTCAGACAGCCGCCATTTTGGCCACATGGCTTGCAGCTCCCCTGAGGTTGGCCATTTTGAAGTGGCAAAGCCCCACCCTGCTCTTTGAATCAGCCAATTGCAAAAGACCGTGCACCTGAGCTCCAATCAAGAGTGAGGGACAGGTCATGTGCTTCAGAATTAAAAAGCCGAGCCAACCACGGGCTCAGTGCCCACGCTCCCAGACCACGTGCTGCACACCCTCCTGCAGGAGTGGAGGTATTTGCCTGCTGCCTGATTCCCAAGTCTGTCTTGTGTTCTACCTGGACTCCTGAAGTTGGGGGCTCACCTTATTTCTAACAAGTGGATGCCAAACCTTTACAGATCATCCCCTGTGTGACTCAATCTATCCATGTCCCCAGGCAGAGCATGCTACTACCTTGGTCTCTGACCGGCTTCACCCCAACTGTGAAGTTTTAGGGGAAACACTTCTTATTTGGCCTGTTCTGTATTCTTACCCTAGCTCACAGGGGCTCCAGGCTGTCCCATCTGAACCATAATTCATGACTGCCTTCCTATGTTCTTTAGACATGTGTAAATAATAAACCCCAAAAGGGGAAGAGCAGCACCTTCCCCAATTACTTTCTTTCTTTGGCTGTAGGTGAATTCCAGAGCAAATGCGAAAAGGCACTTTTAATCCCACATGTGAGGCTGAATGGTAAATCCTTCTGGGTCTTCCTTCTTCTAATGAGGAACTCCGGGAGGGACATCACCCTTTCCTGCCTCATAGTTCCTGAACGTCAACATCCAAACAATGGCTGTTTGTTTAGGCAGATTGAGAGTGCCATGTAAATTCCAGAAGACACATAAAAGCACAAAGGATTCTGCTTAGCCTAGTACTGCTTCTGAGAATGGAACAACTGGCTGTGACTCACCACCACCAGAGCCTGGGTCCTGGTTCCCTTCAGTTTGTTCCTGCTCGTCTCATACAGGAGATGGGGCCACTGACCCACTTTTAGGAGGGCATGCCCTTTGTGGCTTACATAACTCCGGGGAAGAGGCCAGTCACACTGTCTTGCCCAGGATCCTATAACAAGGCCCTTCTGTGAGATGGCCGTCTTCTGGCCGGACAGCCAGCAGTTCTCCTCTGTGGGAGGCCAACTGGTCTGCCCAAGGTTGTGTGTGACCTTGTTAGGGCCCACACTCTGACAACTGAGCTAAGGGGTGAGATGTTGCTGGGAAGGAGGCGGGAGCGGCGGCCGGCGGCTCACCTGCTGCGTGGTGGCCAGGCAGTACTCTGCCGTGCTCAGGATGCTGCAGATGAGGCAGAGCTCCTCCAGGGTGAATTTGGCCGCTTCGGAGCCCTCCTTTTCCTTGAGGAGGCTGCTGATGGTCAGCCCTCCACTGCTGCTGGTGGTTCTGAGGAAAAGGAACAGGAAGTAGTCAGGCCGGGACTTCTCAGTTGCTTCCTGAGCTGGAAACTGCACATCTTAAGAAAAGAAAGGGGGGAAGGAAAGGCTGGACGTGGGCCCAAATAAGCCCACAATACAACGAGTCCGTTCCTATTGACCTCACGTTGACTGTCATCTGTTTAAATCCTCAGACCATCAGAAATAGGAAAAGATGTTTCCAACAGTGAGCTTGTCATCAGTCACATTTACGGTGATGCCTCTGATACAGAGGAGGCTGCTGAACACTGTCTGCTTAGCTTGGCATTTCCTGATCTGTCGAGCTCGTTCAGGATCATGTGAAGCACAGGAGCTGGCTCCCCAATTTTCTCTCCATCAAGCAAATTCTGCACAGGAGTTTGCATGTTGTGGTGGAGGGATGCAAAAGTGCATGTTAAGAAATGGTTCCTGCCCAAACCCCCAATTGTCTCAAGAAACTAAAAGGCATCTCATCCCTTCCTACATGCTCACAAAATGCCAAAAGGCAGCTATAAAACTTCCTGTTATTTCAACCAGGAGAGTCTAATTTTTGCTAAAGTAGATACAACTTAATGGCATTTATCTTAAAAATTAGCCCTAGTTGGTTTGGCTCAGGGGATAGAGCGTCGGCTTGTGGACCAAAGGGTCCCGGGTTCGATTCTGGTCAAGGGCACATACCTTGATTGCAGGCTCCTCCCTGGACCCAGCCCTGGTCAGGGCTCATGTAGGAGGCAACCAATCAATGTGTTTCTCTCACATCTGTGTTTATGTCTTTCTCTCTCTAAAAAAAAAAAAAAAAATCAGTGAAAAAATATCCTCAGGTGAGAATTAACAACAAAAACACCAAAGAGAAATTTCTCCTTTAAAAAATCTGCCCAGTCTTACTGATAAGCTAAGATATGAAAACATTTTGATTCTGAGTACTGAGAAGAGTGTGAGGGTACTGGCACTCGTGTCCACTACAGGTTAGGAACATCACATTGGACAATCCTTCTGGAGGTGTATTTTAGGTGATTTAAGCCAGTAGTTCCACTTCTGTTCAAGGATGCTTTTCTGAGTGTTATTTAAAAATACCAAAATAGTAAACTCAACCTAAACGACCAATTAAGAGAATGACCAATCATGATCCCAAGAGTTAACTGAGGTTCTTCCACAGGTTTGATTGCCGTGGCACATTAAACATGTTTTGATGAGTATTTACTGTCAGGAGTGCCCACTCGTCTCTGCTGGCCTCCCAGACCCACTTCTGCTCTGTACTTCCCTTCTCTATGGGCCAGGAGACTGACTTCCACAGACTTATCATCATCCGGGTTCCTTGGCCCTCAGGCCTCTTCCTGCCGCATTCAGCAGATGGGAGATGCAGCAGGAAGTCAGAAAGGTGGAAGAGAGAGAAGTCTGAGCAGAAATAGTCCTCCAGCTCCCTCTGCTCAGTGTGGTCCTGGCAGTGACTGGCTCTCTGTGACTAGTTTCCGTGGGGCAGATTTTGTCCTTAGTCCTCCCTCTCAGGTGAGTTGCAGTAGTAATAATCACCCACTACTATGTGGGTGCCTCGAACCCTTTTACCTTGCCCTCATTTCTGTGACTCCTCGGCAGCTTTAATCCTCATAACATCCCAGCTGAGCACATCACTGGCTTCCTGCTGGGACACTGGCTAACACGCATGAAGAATGCACCCAGAATGATCTTAAGTGAAAGCAGCAGGAATAGCCCTAGCTGGTTTGGCTTAGTAGATAGAACGTCAGCCTGTGAACTGAAGGGTCCTGGGTTCAATTCCTGGTCAGGGTGCATGCCCGGGTTGCAGGCTCGATCCCCAGTTGGGGCATGCAGGAGGCAGTGGATCAATGATTCCCTCTCATCACTGTTGTGTCTATCTCTCTCTCCCTCTCCTTTCCTCTCTGAAATCAATAGAAATATATTTTTAAAAAAGAAAGAAAGAAAGCAGCAGGGTATAAAGCTATAATAAGCAGTGCAGTCCCAATTCTGATAAACAAACAAAGAAGAGACACAAACACACATATTACACATATAAATAAAGAATGGAAGAACATATACCAAAAAGTTAAACTTGTTTTCTCTGGGTGGTGAGATTATAGGTGATTTTTCTTTTCGATATTTGTGCTTTTCTGTGTCTTCTATGAACTTCTATTACTTTGATCATCAGGACAAAAGGTACTAAAAACTTTTCAATGATTTCTACCACAAAGAAATTCTCATGGGTTAACATATCTGCTACTTCAAATCTCTTGTAGAGCACACAGACTTTGTTTTCTTTCCTCCAAATAATGTAAAACTCCCATGTAGGACATCTTTTAGTGACAATGACAGAATCTAACACCTTAATTGCTGAACTGAGCCACAGGGATGATGGATAATCACTAAATTTCAAAGCCTTACCCTAGATCATATTCTATAACAACTGAAATTGCTATAGTATAACCAGAACATCTAAAGCCCTAGTGTAATGATTCATTTATTTCAAGCAATAGCAATGTAACAACATTTGTGTCTATGGGGAAGTCACTATAATTAGGAGCTGTGCTATGCAACTCCCTACCCCCAAATCCCATCACGTCTTTAAACATTAGACTCTATCCAGCATAGCAAGACACACATCCCGCAGGAGAGTCTGGGAGCATAATCAGACTCAGGGAAGGCAGACTCGTGCCTCTTGTCTATTTATCATTCCAGGACAAACCCTCATTGAATGGGGCCCGAGTGAAACTGCCTGTGCTGTTTTTTCCCCCTATTTATTTACTTACTTATTTACTTATTTATTTATTGATTTTTATTGATTTTTTACAGAGAGGAAGAGAGAGGGACAGAGAGTTAGAAACATCGATGAGAGAGAATCATTGATCAGCTGCCTCATGCACACCCCCTATTGGGGATGTGCTCGCAACCCAGGTACATGCCCCTGACCAGAATCGAACCCGGGACCTTTCAGTTCGCAGGCTGACGCTCTATCCACTGAGCCAAACCGGTTTTGGCTGCCCGTGCTGTTTTTAAGTTATTTCCATCACCACCTCACTTTTTTGGCCAAGCAGCCAACATTGAATCCATGTAAATTAAATATCCATATAATGGCTGGCTCCCTTGAGCCCACAGTGGTAAGATCTGACCTGTGCTGGCAGCCAGCAAGGGCATGTCCTCTAACGGTCTTGATAGCTGTGGAATCCCATTTATTTATTTATTTTTTAAAATATATTTTATTGATTTTTTACAGAGAGGAAGGGAGAGAGATAGAGAGCCAGAAACATCGATGAGAGAGAAGCATCGACCAGCCGCCTCCTGCACATCTCCCACCGGGGATGTGCCCGCAGCCAACGTACATGCCCTTGACCGGAATCGAACCTGGACCTTTCAGTCCGCAGACCGACGCTCTACCACTGAGCCAAACCAGTTTCGGCTGGAATCCCATTTAGAGAGGAAATAGTCTCAGGTCCTTGTGAACTCAACCAAGGGGTTTTCTTCCTTGATACTCTCAGCAGTTCAGGAAATAACTTCATAGTGGGTCCCCTTAAAGATTCCCATATTTAGGCGTGTTTAGACTCACACTTCCCCACCCGGACCAGGGAGAGCAGGACTCACTTGGGCAGGTTGCCAGAGAGGATTTTCCAGGCGTATTCCCGGAGGTACTTCTGGAAGATGGTGGTCAGAGCGATCATGGGCTCCCCGGTGCTGAGCTGGGAGCACTGCACCATGCACTTCTTGTAGTACACAAAGAGGTCGGCACAGCTGGGGAGCACGGCTCCCCCTTCGTCAGTGTTGGGCTTAGGTGGCCCCTGGGCTTTGAAATCCGCCACAAACCGATCTATCAGCTCCCCGAGGTTTCTAGGAAGAAGAAAACTTGAAATGTTATTCTATTTCAAGAAAGTAAGTAAATGTGCTTGGCTCTTTACGTTTGAAATTAGACCCGTTTCTGTTAGTATCACCACCACTCCCATGATTCTTATAGTAACAGCAGCAATAAAATGGGGCACTTGAGGCCCGGCCAGGTGTGGTTCAGCGGTTGAGCATCCACCTCGAACCAAGAGGTCACTGGTTCGATTCCTGGTCAGGACACAAGCCCGGGTTGTGGGTTCAATCATCAGTAAGGGGCATCCAGGAGGCAGCCAATCACTGATGTTTCTATTTCTTCATCTCCCTTCTTCTCTGAAATCAATAAAAATATACTTTTTAAAATGTGGCACTTGCAGACTGCTTTATACCTTCCAAAGCATTTCACGATCACATGTGACTCCCTCCCCTGTGAGGGAGATAAGGTCCTACTGAATGCTCCAAAAGATGTACAAATGAAGGCCAGAACGTCTGTCACACAACTTAGTGGCAGAGATGAGCCCAACATCCACCACGTAATGATAGCAATCCCTTTCTGAACACTTGCACTATGCCTCCACTTTCTGTGACATTTCAATGAACTTCGCTGAATGCTCAAAATAACTTTAGGAAGTAGGAAACTATTACAATCGCAAAGGGCAGAAAAATTAAGGGCCTTATCTAAGGCTATACAGTAGGGGTGTCGAACTCAATCAGAGAAGGGGCCAAAATCTAAAATCCAGCCTAAATCGCGGGCCCAATTGGTTTACTGAATAGTCATAAACTGTCATTGTGATGGAACACAGCGGAGTGCAGTGATGACGGCGCGGTGCGGGCCACATTGCAAGGCCTGGCGGGCTGGATTTGGCCCGCGGGCCTTGTGTTTGACACATGTGCTATACAGCAAGGGAGCGAGGGAGCCAGAATTCAAAACCAAGCAGCCTGGCTCCAAGCCTCAGACCTGTAACCACTCTACCCTGCGACCTCCTAAAACACAAAAAGGTTATGCCGTCAGCAAACATTTAGGTATCATTAACCTACTTGTGCCCACAAAACAGATGCCTAAACAAAGACAAACTGTAAAGAAATACGCTAGCCCTGGCCAGTGTTGCTCAGTGGTTAGAACGCCCAAGGTCTGATTCTCATCAAGAGCACATACCTGGGATGCAGGTTCAGTCCCTGGCCTGGGCGGGGCGAGTGTGGGAGGCAACCAACTGATATGTTTCTCTCACATTGATGTTTTTTACTCTCTTTCTTTCTCTCTCTCACCCACCCTTCCTTTAACTCTTAAAAAAAAAAAAATCAATGGAAAAAATGTCCTCAGGTGAGGATTAACAACAAAAACCCACACTAAAAAAAAAAAAAAAAAAAAAAAAATCTAATGCTTCCTTTCTCCCTTAATGCCGTTTTTCGTTTTTCGTAGAACTACAGATGCAAAGGCGTCTTGGGAGAAGAAGTCTGAGCCGCTCCAGGCTTGCCCTAGGCTGTGGTGGTGATGGCGGCTGCATTTTTCCTCCCATTTCCCACTCAAACAGCACTGCCTTTGCTTCAGCTATAGTGAGTCATCACCGGTTAGAACCAGCAGGCCTGCACTGGTTGTTCCCTGCCCAGTTGTGCAGAGGCAAGAATGGGAGGAGGGGGTTCCCACCCCTCTCGACATTCTGCATCTTTGTAGGTGGCTGTCTAAGGCTACAGGAACCCAGCTGTGCTTTAAAAATGTATTTATATAACAGTCAGGAAGAAAAAGACAAGAACCACACACAGCATCAATTAGCAGGAACAGGAGAAAATTGACATTTTACTCCAGAGCTTTTGTTATTGAAAGTTTATTATATCCAGATGCTGCTATTCTGCCCTCTGAGAACTCCATGCCAAGGCTCGGGCTTTGTGATGATGGTCAGCAGCAGAGAAGGAACTCCGGCCTCCCAGCCCCATTCCGCACAGCCTTTTCTGGCCTGGCCTTTCTCCTCCTTCCCTCCAGAGTGACCCCCAGCCTCACCCCCACCCCGCTCCAGCCAGACTCACCTCACTGCCCCTGCTCCATCTCTCTCTGCCTCTGGGCCTCTGCCAGAGGCTTCCCTCCACCGAAACACTCTCCCAACACTTCTCCCTGCAGCTCAGGGGCACCTGAGGATTAACAACAACAGATTCTCTATCTTCACTTCCACACCTGTCCTGTCACACACTGACACTTCTTTCTGTTTTACTTTTTTTGTTACTCCTCACCCGAGGATATTCTTCCATGCTTTTTTAGAGTGGAACAGAGGGGAGAAACTGAGAGAGAAACATAGATGTAAGAGAGACACATCAATTGGTTGCCTCCTGTGTACGCGCTGACCAGGGCCAGGGTTCAAGTCTGCAACCTAGGTACATGCGCTTGACTGGAATCGAACCCACAGACCAATGCTCTACCCACTGGGCAAAATCAGCCAAGGTAACACTTCATATTCTTACACTTACATATACACCGCAAGGTATGAAATATTCAGGGCACATGTCGACTGCCTCCCCACGGCGCAATGCACATCAATCATGGCAATCTTTTTCATGGGTGTTGGTGTAATTTCAGAATTGTTCCTGAGACAGCACTCTAGACAGCTACTTCTATAATAAGCTGAAGTTGTTACAAAAGGCAGAAGCTGCTTGCTGGAGAATAGAATCCTACCTATTCTCCGAACACTGAACACTACCTGAAATTTTGGCAAGATCGTCTTGTAGGACCACTGGAGAGTAGAATCTTCTCTGTTTCATGTATGTTATGATGAACTCCATGAGAGTAGGAATCATGTTTATCTTATTTCTGCTCCCCCTAAGCCTCCTTATGCTTAAGTGTGAACCTCATCTCCCAATTATGTCGGCCCAGTACATACTCAGCCTATCAACCTCCACACTTCATTCCCAAGGGAGGGGAATGAAAGGTGGGAAGGATCTAACCCAGTCAAATACTGTCAGTATAAGATAGAAATGAATTCAACAACGATAACAAAAAAGCAAAGGTTACCATTTCTTCCAAACACCGAACACTACCTGGCGTTTTGGCAAGATCGTCTTGTAGGACCACTGGAGAAAGGGCTGTGTGACTGGAATCACAAGGAGGCGCCTTTTATCCCCTAAAGTGCTCACTACCAAGTAAGAGAGCACAGAGGGTCAAGCCCTGGGCAAGGCGCAGCTCAGGCCGAGACACGTGCCTGCCCGTTAGAGGCTTTGATCTATTTGGGGAGGCAGGACCCTCATGCTAATGAGTTAGATTCCCAGACAGCAACAAAAGGCTAATTTTGCAGTCTACACAAAACGAGCAATTGCTCTGGACAATGGAAATACCAGAGGACACTAGAGAGAAAAGGTCACAGCAGATTCAGGTGAGAGAATTAAGGCATGGAATCAGAAGTGAGCACAGAATACTGACGGAAGAAGACAGGGTGGGAAGGAGGAGATGGGTTTGGCTGAGGCAGAGGACACGAAGGAGAAAAGTCAGCCTGCAGTTTGATTTATACACTCCTCTGTATTTCCTCAGCAAATTATTCCTATCTCCATCACTTCACGCTGTGTATCACAAACCTTCTTTGGTCTTTCTCTCCCACCACAGTGATAAGCCTATAAAGCATGTAAATAAAGCATTATAAATATACTCTCATTTAATCCTCTCAATAGACCTGAGTAGAAGGCCTATTAGCCCCATTTTATAAATGAAGAAACAGAGGCTGAGGAAAATAATACAAATTTCCCTACAGAATTTATCAGAATTAGAATATGAACTTGGGTCTGTCTGACTCCAAAGTTAAGCTCTATCCACTCACCATACTATGCTTTGATTTCAAAACTGTAAAGCACTAGACAGATGTATGGTATTTTGGTTATTGCTGTCATTACTTTCTCTTCAGCTTAAAGAAACATGTCATGGATGTAGATGGTGTCTTTCCCCCTCTTCACTGCAGCTGGGGCCTAAGAACTAGGTAATACTGGGGGGAGTTCCACTGATAAATAAAATGACCTAGGAATAGAGACTTTTGCAGAGTAGTCAAACTGGCAAAGAGGTAAGCATGGACAAACCCCCAAAACGTCCCCAGGAAGTTACAGAACTTGCTAATTCAAGGGCACTGAAACTTGTTTGTCACCCCCCACCCCACCCCACCCCACCCCCCAGCCTTCTTCCTTTTAGTTGGGACCAAAAATTTGATCTGGAATGGCTTGTGGGGTTGGGGAGCCAAGGTTTAGCTTGAGCCCAACTGGGAGATGGCTTACATAAGGGTAAATGGAGCATATAACTAAAGATGGGGAGGACACTGGGAGCCAGGTTTCTTACTGCCATAGAAGGCAGTTACAGACATGTAGAGGAGGAAGGTAAAATAACCCCTTTGATTGGATTAGAATTGGAGGTATCAGCATAAACACACAGGCTATAACATGGAAATGGGTATAAAATATAGAGGCCCTGGCCAGTGTGGCTTAGTTGTTTGGAGCGTTGTCCTGTACACTGAAAGGTTGTGGGTTCGAATTCCAGTCAGGGCACATACCTGGGTTGTAATTTGGTCTCTGGCTGGGATGCATATGAGAGGCAAACAATTGATGTTTCTCTCTCTCCCTTCCTCTCTCTAAAATCAATAAACATATCCTTGGGTGAGGATTAAAAAAACGGATATAGAGAAATGCATCTATACATACATATAGTTCTTAGTATATGAACCTACAAGCATGACACCCACGCATAATGACCCTATCTGATGCCAAGAACTTAATTTCCAAATATCATTCATTTCAGATATGATCGTTATGCTTGGGTGTCAAAGGAACAAGGGATCCTAAAAAATGAATGACTCTAGGGCTGAGGTAGGAAAGTACAAGATGAACCTAGCATCTTTTGCTGTACCAGAAAAGTGCTTTAAAAAAAAGAGAGAGGTATGCAAATAAGGTGAAAAAATGAGTTTGAAGGGGGTTCCAATAGCTAAATCAGGGCCTATTTGAGCATTAAAACAAATAATGATGGGTCCTGGAAGGAAAAAAGAACATTAGTGAAA